GTTGATAAAAGTTGGCCGTCGTTTTGATATTTTCATAAAAGAAGAATTAATTAAAAGTTTGATACCGCTTGAGACTTTTCTTTCGTAAAATTCGAGGTACCTTCTAAGCGGGGGGCGAGACAAACCAAACGATCCGCGTACGAACGGATTCAAGTATTTCCACACTTGCCGTTTTATCGTCTCCTTCTCTAGAAACGACCTCGAATTTGAAAACATACTTTGGTGACCGGTAATTTGGTGCGGTAAAAACAATGTCAGTTTTTTTTTGAGAAACTTTCGTTAGAGGAACTCCAATAATTTGAGGAAAATTTTCTCCTCAGATACACTGGTAAAACAAGTGTGCAATATTTGCACACCAACGTGCGCAAGTTGTGATTTTGCACATTACATGGTGTTTAACTCAAGTTGCACACTTGCGTGGTGTGCAAATTTTAGACGTTTTATAAACGTTTAAATTCTGCACACTTGGACACACACAGTTCTATGCTGCCAATAGGGAACCATATGGTGTGCAGCTGCTATACGTTTCGGAAGTGTCGAAAGTTTAAACACCAATTGACGTATAACAAAGTTAGACACCACAAAGTGTCGAGAAAATGCACACTTGAACTTAGACGTCAATTGACGTGCAAAATTAAACACTTGTTTTACCAGTGTATGAGGAAGTCGGTCCACAACGTAAGTTGTGGCGAGATGTCCTCAAAATCTCGAGTTTTTCCCAAACTAAGGGACTTTCCTCAAAGTTTTCACCCTTTCTTCAAACAAATCAGACATTTTTTTTTACCCGTGATAGGTCTAGGTAGTTACTACCGTATTAATAAGCTTTATGAGGCAAGCATAGGTTTAGTTTATCGCGTTGGATAGTTTGGCCTGCTCTGCCCGCTGCTCGTACATTGTTTCACGCTGATGGTCCAGTCGACCTGCTAGGAAACTTATAAGGCCTACCCGCACTCTCCTTGACATTCTTGTCGCCTAATTTTCCCAGAGTGCCGAAGACAAGCAGTGCCGGGCGGGGCGCGGCGGGGCGTGGCCGAGACCCCCGCTCAATTCCAGTAGCGCAGCGGCGAATAATTTATCCTTTTCAGCGCAGAATTGGGCGCCGAGGATGGCGTGGCGTGGCGTGGCGCGGTGCGGCCGTGCCGCCGGTGGGGCGTTGGAGTAGGGGAGGGGCAGGAGGAGGCAAGCGCGCCGAGCCTTGACACACTTCTGACGCTCCTCCCGGCAGAGCGCGCTGCCCGCCGAGCTACCCACGTGCCCGCCGCAGCAGCGCCACACACACACACACACAATCACACTTTTTACGCTCGTTTCTGTGAGACAACAACCTTTTGGCTCAAGCGTTGATTTCATTTCATATTTTCGTGCATCTCCTCAAAGCTCCGACCAGGCTTCACCCGGGGGCCCGGGGCCAGGGCTCGGGGCATGCTAGCCCCGGCTGCCCTGGCTCCCGGCTCCTCCTGGTACAGTCCGCGCACGACTATCACCTCCCTCTCCCTGCTCTCCCGACCCGAGGCTTGTCGAGCCGTATTGTTGCGGAGGCAGCCAAGCTCCCCCCACCACAAGCCGTAAGGAACGGGGCAGGGTGGGCACTACTGGCCGCAACAATCGAGTAGTCAAAGTCTCACGGTCTCACGCGCCTGACGCTATAGTCGAGGCAGCGGCCACTACGGTGAATCGCGGCGCCAAAAGGAGCAAACCTGCAAATACAGAGTATTCTGCGTCGACTAGAAAACAGCGTTCATTCTGTTAGCCAAACAGGGGCCGTATTGTTGGTCTAGTTGCAGCAGCAACCTCAACAGTAGCACAGACGCCGGAAAGGACAAGTTTTCGCACCTAAACCTCTAAGAGTCGAGTCGGCAAACGGAGGGAGGTGAAGAGCGGATAGAACATAAACGTTCCCGACTGGTTGAGAGCTCTACGTCACACCAGTAATGAA